CCCTTTGTCTGTGTTGAAGAAGAGAGAGAGAGAGAGAGAGAGAGAGAGAGAGAGAGGGAGAGAGAGAGAGAGAGAGAATCCACATGCCCCTCCAGGTTCAGGTTTCTGAGCGTCCCGGCCAGGGAGCAGGGGTCTCATTGCAGTGCTCGCTCTCATCACGCTTTTCCTCGAATGTAGCTATGGCGATCACAGGCAGCCCATATGACATCATTGCGACCAGAGCGCCTGGCCGTCCCTGTCACTTCTTTCGAATTCAAGACATGCTTTGTGATGGAGTTGCTGCACGCTCCAGCTGTTGTCAGATCTATGACTCTATGACCCAGGTCAGCCTCAAGAGGCATGTGCCGAGACCCTGTGATCTGCCTCAGATGTTTCGGTTCTTCCTTTCGTGGTCAAAGGCCACGGGACTGCTAGCTTGCAAAGGCATGGTGAGCAGCATGGACGATCCGGTCGATGAGGCAGGGGCGGCGGGGGCAGCAGAAGAATCTTAGACGAGACCTTGGAAGGTAATGGAGCTGTCTGGGGCCCAGGACTCGCGGGTCCGCGAGGCAGAAGAGCAGAGGTGTTCTCTCTCTCAGGCCGACGCCGAGGGCGTCTCCAAGCTCCGCAAGCTCCGCAAGCTCCGCAAGCTCCGAGGCCGGCAGCTTCAAGGGCCGCATCCGCTTCGTAGCGGCTCAAAAGAAGTTTTTGACTATGAAGGTACAGTTCGTTCCATCGAAGAGTCGTCCCCTAAAGCTGCCTGCGACTCGGCGACTCGACCGGGGATGTCCGAGGTCTGCTTCCTGCCTCCTACGCCTGAGTTCTCATGCAGGTCAAAGAACTTCCAACGACGTGCAGGCAGTGCACATCCTTTGGCCGAGGCGATTCCGGCTGGAGGTGAAAGGACTGCTAGATCATCCGGGCACAGGAAGCGTTTCGGCAATTGCTCTCGACTTTGGGCCCAGAGGAGAGACGCACTGCGAGATACCTGGAGTTCGTGCTGTACCATGATGAAATGCCATACTAGATGAGGAGTCTTCGCGGCCAGAGTTGTACAAGACTCCATATCGCCATGGCCCTGGGGGGGAATCAAACATGCTGGGACTAATTGTATAGCAAAACGAAGCCAGGTGCTGCAAAGGCATTCATGGAGATGACTGCTGGCACTAGCATCACGGACTCATCTCTGGGGAGTGCTTTCTGACATTCTGCTTTCAGTCGCATCCACCTTCGAAGGATCCACTCGAGGCAGTCGGTGACGCAGTTTTCGAGGTTTGCAGCTCAAGGAACCTGTTCCATGCTGTTCCAGCACCATCGGGCACTTGCAGAATCAGAGTCGCAGGTGGAGGGTGCTCACGATCTGGTGGCTGTGCGAGACAGCTGCGCTTCATTTTGTGCTCCGAACAGTTGCAGTTCCTGCATGCTTCTGCAAGAATCGCTGACAAGCGCTGTGAGGACATTCCTTTTCACTCTCTCTGTGAACATCACCTGCTTCCGTTCTCCGGGACTGCGCATATTGCCTACTTCCCAGACGGAAGGCGCTGCAACATGCTGCAGTTGGAAATTGTCAACATGACTTGAAGCGAGCTTGCCCAACGTGAAGGGTCCTGGGCCTTTCGAAGTTTGCCAGACTGCTGCAGGTGTGAGACTCAGCCTTTCTTTTTCGGGAGAGATCATGCGCTTGATGGCAGATGAGAACTAAATCTGTGTGCTGAGGCTTTATGCATGTATCCGTTTGGAAGGCTGCCATGTCGTCCACAGCCGAAGGTTCAAGTTCCGAAGACGGCAAGTAGATTAGATGCACCGAAGAACAGAGAAAGTTGAGGGAAGCACGCCCTTGGGCTTGATTGTGTGCGTAGTCCGTCTTTTACGACCAGTCATGGACACTTTGTGTACAGCCACTGTCTGATGATGCTCGGCTTGCCAATCGTGGTCGTCCTGGGGCACATTCTCTCTCGATGTCACTGCTTCTCATTCGACAAAGCAACTGGGCCACTCAGAGTTAGCAGTTTCCTCCCCGTCGATGATGGGGATCGGTCCTGTCGTCGCCGCACCTCGTGAGGTGAAGCTCGGAAAGGAACTTTGATGCAAAGCGTGAGAGCGATTGCCATGCGGCTGCAGGGCTGCATACTTGGCCTTTTTCCTGGCCCATGAGGACTCGGTGGCCTTTGTTGGAGGGCCGCTGGGGCATCCGGCCGTCATCGTGGTCCCAGAGCCTCGGCCAGCCATAAGAGGATGTAGCGACTCGTCGTGAGTCCACGCGCATCCACAGGAGCTGATTGGGGTCACCGAGGACGTCAGGAAGCAGGCCGCGACATGTGAAGTGAACTGGGGCCAAGCCGAGAGCAGGGGAGGGCCAAGTCAGGCTTCGCGGATTGCAGAAGAAGGAGGCTTCCGTGTGCTCATCGTCGACTTCCACAAGGATCCTTGAGCCTCGAAGCGCTATCAGGCTCAGAGCATGCTGCCAGAATGTTCTGTCCAGGGTCGAGTTGGCGACAAAGACTTGGATGCCAATGCCCTTGCGGAAAATGTGAGCCTGGAAGGGGCTGTAAATGAAATCAGCATCTAAGCTGAAACCGGTGTTGTGAGATATGCATGCGGGATCGCATGTGATATGAGGTGAAGCCGCAGCATACCTGAAATCCGAGAGGTCTCCGAAAGTTGGCATAGCAGTTCGGCTTGAATTGAGTAGTTGCAGCTCGTGAATGGTCCGTGGAGAACTGGAGCAGATGCCAGGTAGGATTCTGCATGGGTGGTGCGATAACCTTCGCCGGTTTGGCGACATCATCTGACATCTGCTGTGCAGTGACTTTCCTCAGCAATGGGGCGTTGCTTGGCCGCAGAGAGCGCGAGATAAGAGGCTCACCCGCGTGCGGCGTCGATCATGAATGTAATAATGCAGGATGCTATCTGAGGCTTCTTGGGGTCAGCCCTGAGACCCTGGATGTTGACATGCTCGCAGATAAACCGGTGCAGGGTCACTTCGGCGCGGCTGATGCAGGAAGCTATCTTCCAGCTTCTCGGCATCTGCTTTCTGTTAGCTGCTACTTCGGGTAGGCAAAGTGCGCCAAGGATGCAACGACCGCTCGCTTGCTGGAAGAGCGCTTGCGAGCTGCAGGAAATCCGGATGCAACCATCTTTGTCTACGTTGCTTGGTGCCACTCTTTCTACTATCCAGCAGCAAAAGACAATTTCTAGAGTTTCGCTGATACATTGGCTGCGAAATTTCGATAGAGTTTGCTTCTGCCTTTCGGGTCAAGCCTTCCATGGTGGCATCTGAGGATGACTTGGGCCACTCCTTCATGAGCCTTGGCTTCGTTGCCAAGAGCTTCCCTGATGGAGTTCTCAGCATGCGACCCGGAACGAGGAATGAGAGCCCTTATCCCTTCTCCAGCTTCGCGGAGAGGGAGGTGGAGCTGGGAGTACCGGTATACGACGCCAAGCAAGCATCTCTTGCCGCATGCCTTTGTAAAGGAAGAGACCTCGCTGTGCCGCTTTGTCCCCGCTTTGTGCCGCTTGGGCCAAGGCCTGGAGTCGCCTCTTCGAGTTCCTGGGTCCTGTCCTAAGAGCCGGGCCCTCGGCTCCCGGGCTCCCGGCGGCGCTGAGGCTGGCACCTGGCTGCCAGGATCCCACCAACAGAAGCTTGGCATAATCTCATTTTTTCGATCTCTTTACGATCTTACGAAGCTGCAGCATTTCGCGTCGCCAGGATGATCTCGACAAGGGTCCGGTGGACATGGACGAGGCCAGTGGCAAGATGGACGTGTGACCGAGACTGGTGTCCCAAACCAACAGCATCCAAGTAAGCAACATCTCCAAAAGCCTTTCAGCGTACGGACATGCAAAGCCTGCATCATCCCGCATCGCTGCATCCAGCTGCTTTCGCAGCAGGCGGAAGATTCTGAACCTCCACCCATGGCATCCGGGTAGCACTTGTCGGACAGAGAGCTGTTCAGTGCTCCGATTGCTTCATCTCAGGACGACTTGTGACTGGAAGCGGCTCTTCACAATAAGGGAAAGACGTGGACCACCAACATCTTGATCTGAAAGAAGCAGTCGACATGATCGTGCACCTGAAGATGATCGAGCTGGGGCGTATCGGGATCTAGGTGGCCCGCTCCTTTCGGCACGGACGCCTTGCAGGACCAGTCTGATGGAGCTGCGCTTCAGAGCCTTCGCTGACTGCTTGAAGAACAGGAAGCTGTGCGAGTCGGGCCGGCTATCGCGGCTTCGTGTAGAATGGGGAAAAGGGCCTTCGACATGCGACCATGCTAGCGGTGGATGTTGTCAGAATGAACTCTGGAGCCCCGAAAGCTCAGGTCTTCGCCCGCCGGCTGCAGCTCCAGGCGCGCGATCGCACGCAATCTCGCAGGTTCCTGGAGTGTGACAGAGCGACAGACAGGAACGCCTCACCCACCAGTTTGTGGATGCCGTGTTTGAGCTGCTCTCGCCCAAGGCGGTGGCAGTCAGCCTGGAGGCCTCAGCCATCGACCTCTTAGGGAGGAGGGTCGCTTTGCACCTCTTGTCTGTCCATCGCACCTTCCATGTTTGTCGCAGGAGGGTGTTGGAATTTGGGATGGTCCAAATCCTACATCCCTTGAACCCAGACACTCGTTTGGGCTTTAGGGTCTACAGTTTAGGCTTTTGGTTTTGATGTTTTAGGGGTTGGCCCTTGTTGTGCCTTTAGCGTTCGGGGTGTTTTAAGGCTGCAGGAGGATTTCGGGTTTAGGGTTCACGGTTTAGGGTTTGGGAGGGATTCAGAACCGGGGTCTAGAGCTGGTTTAGGTTCAGGTTTGGGGTTTCGGGTGTGTGGCTTTTGGGGTTTCGGGTTGTTAGCCTTCGGGTTTCGGGTTTGGGATTGCGGCTCCACGGCAAAGCGTGGCAGAAGCTTTCTCAGCAGAGGTGGTTGGGATGATACGAAGTGATGATTTTCGGTCATATTCGGTTGGTGTGACTTTTGGGTCTTTGAACTCACGCTCTGACACGGTATACACGGTCCTAACCTAGTCTAAAGTATCGCATAGAGCAGGGTTAACGGCAGTCACTGCTCATCGTTTGGGGCCGGCGAGATCCTTTTGTAAATTCCAATACACGCGCTGCCTGCGCCCCGATGAAAATCACCACATTCTCGATTTTTCGCGCGAGCAGTGCGATCCACTGTAGATTCGAATACACCGCACTCCTTCGTCATCCGCTGTTGCAGCCATCTCGGCGGTAACGACGTGACCGCTTCCTCCGAGCAGCACGATCCCTTGCAAATTCCAATCGCATCAACATTTAAGCTTTTTGCACCGTGCCGTGTGCGCCGGCATTCCCGACGGGCGCGATCCATTGTAACCAACACATGGGCCTCGCACCGTTCTCGAAATGGTACCGAATTGACAACCCTTTCGGTGAGCATGTTCGGCTTCCCCAAGCTCGGTCGCGTGGTGCAAAGAGGCCGCGCGCGCGTCCTACGAGCGCTGAGCGCGACCCAATGTAAGTTCCAATGCTTGGCTTGTGTGCTGGTGCTCCTCAATCCCGCCAGTATTTGGGGGGTGCTCCTGAATTCGCCAGTGTTGGAAGATGTTGGAAGCCTTGTCGCCGTGCTTTTGAATCCTGCCAATTAATATTCGGGTGAGAGCAGGTTGGTTGTGTCCGGGCCTCCAAATTCGTGTTTTCGAGTACGAACATGTAGGATGTAGAATTCCTCCCGAAGGCGGACGGCTTGATGGTGGATGAATGACTGCTTAATCAATGAATGAATGGATGAATGGTGGATGGAAATGGATGAACGAAATCGATGAATGAATGGATGGATAGATTGAACCATGAATGTCGTCGATACTCATTGCTGTAAGTGCTGTAAATGCTTTCGGGAGACTCGGTCTTTCGTTTTTTTGGGACTCAATGCATCAAAATAGCCAAGGGTACAGGACTTTCAGGATTTGGGCTTGGGCTGTTAGGTTTATAGGGTTTATGTAGGGCTTGGGGTATTTGGGTTTAGGGTTTATGGTTGGAGGGATTAGGGGTCTTCGGGCTTACAGCTTCAGGTTCAGAAGGCTCTAGGCTCCAGGTTAGGGTTTTCGGGTTAAGGGCCTGGGGTTTGGGGTTTGGTCTTTTCTGGCTCTTGGGACACAGGACTTACGGACACACTAGGGTTAACTTCAATGCTTCTATTTAAGGTTTTCGGGCTTTCGGGGTTTCAATGATATTTTAGGGTCTTTAGGGTTCAGGGTTGAGAGGGTTTATGGCATAGGGTTCGGGGCTTGATTAGGGTTCAGAGATGTTTATGTTTAGCTTTCAGTGGTTGCAGGATTTGGTTATTTTGTTAGGGTTTAGGCTAAGCTTAGGTTGGGGAATCGCGGGTACACCAAAGCAGTTTCTGGGTTCAGGGTTCAGTTGCTTCAAGATTTAGGCTGAAGTTTACGGTTTGGGGTGTTGGGGTTCGGGGTTTAAACCCTGAGACTTAAAGATAAACAACCCTACAAGCAAAAGTGCTGGGTGGGTTGTGGAAGGTGCCAAATGAGAGAAAAAAGGTGCTGAGTCTGCACAAGAGCGTGCGCTTCCCCTCTTGGAGAAGTCGCCAGGCAACCCACGCCTGCATGAGCCACCGGGGTGCGTCAGACGCAGAGCTGGGCATTGCACAAAAACACATCGCAGCGGAGCGGGTGTGTGCTTTGAGGTCGGTGCCGTCGAGCACGCGAACGATTGCACTGCGGGGACCGCAGAAGGCCGGCTTTTGACTTGAAGGCTCTTGACTTCGACAAAGATGGCCTGCAGGACGATCCCGCCCTAAAAGAGCAGCTGCTCCTTGGTGTTGGCTGGGGGCTCGGAGTCGTTTGCAAAGCACTCGGTACTACGCCGTGGGTCATCTGAGGCCGTGGTGGAGCGGTGGCCGCCAGACTGTGAGCTGGAGAACGAGCATGGAAGTGCCTTTCCTCGTGCAGTGAGCCGCGTGCTCTTGCACTATGCTGCATTACCCTCCGCCAAATCGAACAGCACACTTGACACACTTGAAGGTTGCATAATGATATCCGTTTTGCCTGACACTCTGGACACACTTGACACACTTGGCCACTTGGCACACTCGGGGTGATTAAGGGTTTGCGGGTTTAGGGTTTACGGGTTTAGGTTTAGAGTTTCGATTTAGGGTTCAAGTGGCACAAGTGGCCCAAGTCTGTCAAGCGGGTCAGGGTAAAACGCAGTGGCATGTTCAAACCAGGGTCGAGCGTGTCAAACGGTAGGCCGGTTGAAACTAGTTTGCAGTTCCCGTTTCCTCGCGCACTGCTATTCTGTACTCCGGACGGGAGCTTGTGAACAAGCCAACGGCATAGCACGATGACGATCAATGTTGACGGAGGATAATCTGTGAAATATCGTTTAGGCGAACGAATACCTGACGGCTGTGGAAGCCTCTCATGCACAGGTGCAGCAGTGTCAAACGCACTGTTGTGAATGTGATTTTCCTTGCATGTGCATTTTTATGCTGTCAAGGAAAAGTTAGTTGGTGAAGTCGACTGCGAAGTAGATATGAGGTACAAGCCTGAAAGATTACTGTACTTCGTAATTTGAAGGCAATGCAGTTCCAGAGACTAGCATGATTTAGCCGCAGTTGGCGATCCCTCTAATTTTTGCTATGCATTGGCCTGAACAAGAGGCTCGTGTCAAGTGTCTCGGCCTCCTGCGCATCCGAAACAACAAGCAAAAGCCACAACATCCAAGCTGCGCAGGTCGCCTCGAGAAGCTGGGAGGGGTGTCTGACGTGTGACGTCACCCGTAGTTGACCTCAGGCGACCTGAGAGAAGTCCGCAAACTAAAGTTTTTCTTTTTCTTGCGTTGGCTAAGCATGCTGGCAAGCTGGGGAGTGAATGTGGTGCTGCGTGCCAGTGAGCCAAATCAAGCATTAACCCAAGACATGCTGGGCAAGTGAAGAGTGTCCACCTGGTGGTATCTGTTTAGGTGCTCATCTTGAACTTGGTTGGAATAGTTTCTTAGAGCTTTGATCTCAGCCAAGACATATGCAAGTACCTGGTTGGGCACAGCCTGACATGATGTACGGCGATTACTTATCTTTGCGATCTTGTTGCCTTCTTGCTAGATGCAACGCCTGCAGCGCATGTTGCTGCCGCGGAGCGGATGTGTTTCGAATCCACGTTTGCGTCGACTCCGCATGCTTCGGAGAGTTAGTTGAGATGGAACGGCGTGCCATAGAATCATCAAAGCCGGGTGTTTGCTGACTGGTTGCTGTCGCTTGCAGGAGCTGGTCATGGACGGGCACGGTTCACTTCGCGCTGGTTGTGTTTCTTGCAGCCGGCTTGGCTGCGGGGGAGCACGTGACCGTCGATGGACCAGTGATCGGCATCGTTGCCGCAAGAGGAGTGTTGTCCACCCTGAGGATTCATCCGTTGCTTGCAGAAGCTAGCTGTGTCCTGGAGTCGCGGTTGCCAGGGCAAGTCCAGATTTATCGAAATTTAACATGCCACAGAAACGAGGGGCCTGACAAGCAGTCCAAGCCGAGACTTCTCAGAATTGCAGCGGTTGCTAGGGGACGGCTTGCTTTTCCGTCTGGCATGGTAAGGAATTGACTTGGGCACCACGTACTCTTGCGCAGCGGTTTTCAAGCGGCCTTGATGCAGTGGCTGAAGACCGAACATGAGTGACTGCAAGTCGATACAACCGAGGAGTGGAGCAGTCGAGATAATACCAAGCAGTGAAGGCAACGTGTCAGAGTCTGTCACTGCCCTTGCCCTATGTTTTCTTCCCGTTTCTTGCAGGCAGCAGGATTATGCCCTCTTCAGTGGCGTTCACACCAGGAAAAGAGGCGGGCTGTATTTGGGATTTTCATTGGTGAGCTCGCGGTCTGCCATCACCTTCACAGGGGCCACGAGAGAGAGAGGGAGAGAGAGAGCGAGTCAGACAAGCCTGATGTAGAAAGGAGTTCCAGACCCGTGATGATTAGGTTTAGGTGGTTGTAGTCTTTCTGCTGTTGCTCTCAGGGGGACGGGAACTTCAAAGCTTATCCCAAATCCATCGAGTACAGTTATTTCAATCCCCTCTGGAAAGGCCTGTCAGACGGATCGCTGAAGGTAAACCAGGGGACGCTCGAAGTGGGACAGGCCCACAGATGGGGAAGGCACTTTGTCCGATTCTCTTTATCATTGTAGCTTTTACTTTATTTATGTGCTCATTGACAACAGTGCAAACCCCATGTACCCGATGTTTTCAGGTTGCTGCATATGCGACATGGGGGAGATCATGTTTGTTTTTCGCTCGCCCTCCGCAGATGCAATAAAGTAATTCAGGCCTCCATGCAGGAATGACAAGTTTGAGTATCGGGGGAAACATATTTATTCTGTCGTCAGGAATTCTCTGTGCGATTTTTAACTACAAAAAATATCAAATACCAAATAAAATACCCGGAACTCGAACAACTTCCTCACACCCCCGAAAGCCCCATAACATGTGGGGGGCCAATAGGCCGGGGGGGCCTGACACGCCCCTCATGCCCTGGGGAAGAAGAAGAAGCGGGGAGGGGTGCTTGCATGCCTCTCTTCTGACTTTGTTGAAGAAGAGAGAGAGGGCAGTTGCACTTACCAGTTGAAGCAGAGGTGAACAAGACACAGTCGGGGGAAAATGCCCCACAGCTCCGGGGAAATATGCCCTGAAAAGACGATGATCCACCATGCTACGCGACGTCATGGGGGAAATACACTCTTGGTAGTGCCCATAAGACCTTTGCTCTTCTGACAATCCATGACGTCGCGAGGCGGACATCGCAGCCACATCACTGAAAAGTTAAGCCCCATGCAGAACATCTGTATGGGGGACAAGTGAGACACCCCAAAACATGCGGGTGCGCGCACGCGCGCAGGTCTCAGGGTCGGACGGCCCTGGGCCCCGGCACCCAGGCATCGGGAGCGGAAAACCCATGCAGGAGGGAGTGTTCTTTTGAATAGGTGGTGTCTGGGAGTTGAGGAGAGAGCCAGGAAAACAGCTGTAGAAAAACCCCAAAGCCCTAAGTGTGCAGATGCAGAGGAGAGCCCGAGGATGCCTTGTGCACTTCGTGGGAAGTTACTGTTCTTCGTTTGGTTTGCTTCGAGACTTCGAGAAGCTCCACCTCTTTTTCCTACCAAGTTTTCCCTCTCGGGAAGATCCTGCCGATCTTCAGATTCCGAGAGGTAAACAAGATGTAGGGAATTTATCGTGTAGCAGTCTTTTTTCTGGACTGCGCGACGGGCTGGAATGGCTGGACAGGTCGATGGCCCATGCGGCTCAGATCACTTCTATCCGAGCGAAGAGTCTGCATGCAGGTGCCTCTGATTGGCGAGTCTGCAAAGGATCTTGCACTTTCATCCCCTGCCCAGACACTGTGCCTTGGACCAGTCAGGAGAAGGTCACGTTGAACCAAGACATGGCATAGCGATTTGTGTGATAATGCTGTGAAGCCGTCGCACAGATTTGCTAACAAGCTCAGGTCCAATGTCAAGCGGTTGATTGGCCGCGACTACAAGGATCGGAGAGCCTACAGCTCGCAGCTGTAGCACATTGTAGCACGCCACCTACTGTCAATGCCGTGGGTGTTGCCGCATTGAGGACGCAGGCGTGCAGCGGGACAGTAAGATGATGCCCTTCAAGGTGTACGCCTCGGCCTCTTACCGTACCCGTTGTTAGACGATGCTCTTTGCTGTGCAGTTGGCCTCGCAGCTCTCCACAGGTTGTTGCCCACTCCGATGGCAGCGCTGCCATCAGCGTGGCTGTCGACGGCCAGGATTCTTGATTTGAAGTTAGTTTGGCTCTCTGTGTCGTCTAGCGGGGATATGTTCTGACAGGGATCTTCAGCCTGATTTTGCTGCCACTTGACCCTAGGCTAAAGTTCTGAGACCCGAAGAGATGCTCAGCTGCATTTCCGGCGAGGCTTGTGGCCCTAAAGGGCGAATTGCATCAACTCAGGATCTCGGCCCTTCTGCTCAAAGAACTGATTCTGGTCTCAACAGATGCTTGAAACTTCCATGGGTTCGTTCGAGCTTGTTAACTTCCGGTTGTTGTGCAAGGACGGATCGTGCCCAGAAGTACTTGGGCAGAGAAGTCAAGCATGCTGCGTCAACCTGAGCGAGGGTAGGGCAATCATGACACGCGTGTCATCTGCCTCACGTGCGATAACGGTCTTTAGCCTGTTTTTGCAGCAGTCTCCTGCTTGAGCCGGACAGCCAGCCACAGACTCTGTTTGGGAGCCAGACAAAGTTCGATGAGTATGGTTTCGCGCAAATAGCATTCGCAGATCCGAACGGTCAGCGGTGTCACTAGCGTGACGTGCTGGAGCTAGTGCCATGGCTGCCGTCGACCAGCCTCGGAGCATTGCCATCATCGGCGCTGGAGTTGCCGGTATCCGGACAGCATTCCACATAGCGATTTTGTCAGTGTTTCGGGTTGCACGGGGGCAGTCTTTGAGCCAGGCTTGCAAGCATTGCGAGCCCTGCAGCAAGTGCCACAAGTCCAGGCCCTGCCCACTTTTTTTCGAAATGCAATCAAGTATCTTTGGGCTGTTTCCTGCGATTGTGGGATGGTTCCTGGGTGCCGGCTTGGGCTTGATGCATATCGGACTTGCATCCTGTGCGTATCCACGCGGAAGTTTCGCGGAAGATGATGTTCAAGCTCGTGGATAAAGGTCCGCAGGGTGCGAAATCTTGACCGAATGCTGGAAACCCAATTCCGGCTTGATGTCGTCTTCGAGCTTTCGCTTCCCAATTTCTTGTTTTGCGTGTGCTTGATACTCGCAGCCTTGGTTGAGCTCGGACACGAAACATGGTCAGGCTTAAGATGTAATGAACATGCCTGTGAATCGCAACCAATTCCTTTATCAAGGCGCATGACGGAGATTTACTTTGTGGAAGTCAGAGAAGAAGCCGAGATGGCTTGGCGCCACAGTTTCCGGAACCAGACTTTTTTGTGTGCGGTGGATCGGAGCAGCTGGCAAGGATGCGCATTGATCAGGATCGACTAAAACCATCAGACCCCGTTCTTCTATGCTACGGCACGATGTAACATGTTAGTGGTCAAGTTGCTTCTGAAACTCGGGCGCGCGATGAACCTCGGACCGTCGGAGATACATGGAATGAGACTGCAATTGTGTATGCCATTGAAAAAGGCATGCCGAATTATCAAGCTGCTGATCAACTGAGCCAATGGGACAACCCCAGCGCAATGCTAGCAGATGCACAGCCAGAACTGCAGTTGACAACACCAAGACGCGAGGTGAGACTACCTTGCCAAACTCCGCAGTCCCGAGCCGTGCGCTTGTAGGCGGAGAGGATGTTTCAGACGGAGTCAATGTGGCAGAACGAAGATATACAAGCACGTGGTGCTCAGCACATTCAGGGCGCATTTCTGCAGCTGAGCAGCATGCCCATTTGCAGCCGTAGCACAGGGGCTGAAGTTGCTTAACGCCAGCAGACATTGCAATTCTCGTCGGCATCCCCGACTGGAGTCCCGACGAATGCCTCCATGGCAAAGAGGAACCCGCAAACGGCGAGCGCACGCGTGCCTTCACCTTGGCAGCTGTGCCAAACAAAGCAAGCTAGACTCCTCGTGGGGTGTGTGCACGCCAACTTTCCCCGTAAGGTTAACCGCGTTCATCACGGCAACATCACCGCAAGGGCCTTGGGTGAATCGTTGCATGGCATTCTTAAGGCAAGTGACTTCGCTAAGAACTGTTATGCGAAGGCAGGAAACAGAGAATACGAGTCCAGCTCATCCGGGTTTGCTTGCCCCCTCATCAGAATCACAACGTGGCCGTATTTGGAGACATGAAGACAATTGGGCTGGCAAGACCTTGAACACTGGCATGCGCTGCGAAGAAGCGGCAAAAGTCGAGCTGTTTGGATGTAAACTCCATGGTGCAAACCTACAAACGGTTTGTCTTGAGAAGCAGGGACTGTCGGTGAACACGGACAAACAAACCGCAAGTCTCCGCTAGCTTGCTGGCCGTGGAGCTTCGAAAGCTTTAACTGCCAGAACATCGCAGAGACCAAGAGAAACTTCGTTGTTCATTGCGCATTTATTTGCTGCTGGTCCAGATCCGACATTCTTGTTGTAGTCGTTGCAAGTGCCGAGAATGCAGCGCATGTTCGTTTTTGCAGACTCACGGTTTTGTTGAGGAGCACGCAGCAGACCAAACGGGAAACGCGTGCTGCCCAGACATACCAAAAGACGAATCTGAAAGGCATCATGTCTTCTATCATGGAATCTATGCAGCGGAAAAGGAAAAGACTTACTCATTGTGCACAAGCGCCGGCTGATGATGATTCGTCGTCATCTTTGGCCGCTGTGGCACCCATGATACTGGCCCCGTCGTCTTCTCGGAGCTCCGTATAGGTGCTTTGCCCAGCAGGTGCTCATGATGCCAAAATTGTCGTCATTTGTCCGAGTGCAGTAGTGGTTCAGCTTGGCCTAGCGGCCTAGCGGATGCTCATGATGTTAAACTAGCTATTGCGGTTCTCTCAGCCCTGTAATTCTCTGACAGGACCAGCTTTCAGACGCCAAGATAGCGAGGCCAGCATCGGCATGGGCAGCCAAGCCCAGCAGCATGAGCATCAGCTCGGCCAGTCTCCGCCACCGTGGCGCTAAGAGACAACCACA